CATTAATCCAAAAAACACAAAATAATAAATGTTGGAGAGGTTGTGGAGAGACTGGAACACTTATACACTGCTGGTGGGAATGTAAAATGGAACAACCTCTTTGGAAATTGATTTGGCGCTTTCTTAAAAAGCTAGAAATAGAAGTACCATACGATCCAGTAATCCCATTCTTTGGAAAATATCCTAGAGAAATAAGAGCCGTCACACAAATAGATATACGCACATCCATTGTCATTGCAGCATTGTTCACAATAGCAAAAAGATGGAAACAACCTAGGTGCCCATCAATGGATGAATGGATAAACAAATTACAGTATATTCACACAATGGAATACTATGCCACAGTAAAGAACAACAGTGAATTTGCAAAACATCTCATAACATGGATGAATCTGGAAGGCATTATGCTGAGTGAAATTAGTCAGTCACAAAAGGACAAATATTGTATACGACCACTATTATAAGAACTCAAGAAACGGTTTAAACACAGAAGAAAACATTCTTTGATGGTTACGAGGGTGGGGAGGGAGGGAGAGGGGTATTCACTAACTAGATAGTAGATAAGAATTATCTTAGGTGAAGGGAGGGGCAACACACACTACAGGGGAAGTCAGCACAACTGGACTAAACCAAAAGCTAAGAAGTTTCCTGAACACAACCAAACACTTCAAGGGACAGAGTAGTAGGGGTGGGGGTCTGGGGACCATGGTTTCAGGGGACATCTAGGTCAACTGGCATAACAAAGTTTAAGAAAATGTTCTGCATCCCACTTTGGTGAGTGGTGTCTCGGATCTTAAAAGCTAGCAAATAGCCATCTAACATGCATCAATTGGTCCCAATCCACCTGGAGCAAAGGAGAATGAAGAACACCAAAGACACAAGGAAAATATTAGCCCAAGAGACAGAAAGGGCCACATAAACCAAATACTCTATCAGCCTGAGACCAGAAGAACTAGATAGTGCCCAGCTACCACCAATGACCGCCCTGACAGGGAACACAACAGAGAGTCCCTGATGGAGCAAGAGAAAAGTGGGGCGGAGAACTCAAATTCTAGTAAAAAGACTAGACTTAATGGTCTGACTGAGACTGGAGGGACCCCAGACGACATGGCCTCTAGACTCTCCATTAGCTCAGAGCTGAAACCATTCCCAAAGCCAACTCTTCAGAGAAAGATTAGACTGGACTATGGGACATAAAATGATACTCGTGAAGACAATGCTTCTTAGCTGAAGTAGATACATGAGACTAAATGGGCAATTCCTGTCTGGAGGCAAGATGAGAAGGCAAAAAGGGACAGGAGCTGGTTGAATGGACACAGGAAATCCGGGGTGGAAAGGAGGAGTGTGCTGTCACATTATAGGGAGAGTAGCTAGGGCCACATAGCAATGTGTGTATAAATTTTTGTATGAGAAAATGACAAACTGTAAACTTTCACCTAAAGCACAATTGAAAAAAAAAAACCAAACGAAACCAAACAGAAAAAGAATGATTAGCGCTTTCCAGCCCTGGGACCCATGCTGTTTCTAACTATAATAGGCATCTAAGTTTCTATCTATTTTATCCCCCAGATCATTGTTATGGCATGCATGGAGTTTGAAATGGGAAAGGTGAGTTGCTTGCTAGCACCTGTCTACCTTAACATAAGCGAAAGAAGAAAAAGGAAGGGAAAACTGATAGCAGAACTTTCCTTAATCGTGCCTGGGTAAAAATTAGGTTCATGTTCCTAGTTTTCAGTTTGGATATACCATATGACTCTCAGGGCCTTTTTTGTCTCGTTTTGTTTATCATTAAGAATCCTTTTTGTCAATCTTCCCAGTGCCAAAAAAAAAAAAACCCTGTTGCTGTGGAGTCGATTCCAAAGAGCAGTTGGTCAAACTGCCGACCTTACGGTTAGTAGTCGAGCTCTTAACTACTATGCCACCAGGGCTCCATCTTCCCAGTAGACTCCATGTTTTAAAGTACAAACAAGATATGCTTTTTAAAATAACAATTTATTTTCCCATTTTTATTAATCAGATACCTAACCTTGCGCTGTTCAACATGGCATCCACTAGCCACATGTGGCTTTTGAATGCTTGAAATATGGCTAGTGTAACCAAGAAACTGAATTTTAAAATTTTATTTACTTTTAATTAATTTAAATTTAAAAACTGATAATCAACTCAGTTATTGGAAAACTCTTAAGTGTATTTTGAATAAGTGGGTAGGTGTATCTACTTTTTCAACTGTAAATTTTATGAAAGCTAAATAAAAAGTTTCCAGTGAAATATTTGAGATGCGCTATAAATATAAAATAAATACTAGATTTTAAAGACGATATAAAATGTAAAATATCTGGTAACTTTTATATTGATTACATAAAATTTTGGACATATTGGATTAAGTGAGATATATTGTTATGATTAATTTCACTTTTTTGTTGTTTTTGAATGTGGTTAAGCATTTGGCTGCTAACCAGAAAAGGCTGACAGTTCAAATCTACCAGCTGCTCCTTGGAAACCCTATGGGGCAGTTCTACTCTGTCCTGTGTGGTCGCTATGAGTCGGACTTGACTCGACAGCAATGGGTTTTTTGGTTTTTGGTTCATGAGAAAATTTAAAATTACACGTGTGGCTTACATTATATTTCCACTGGACAGCACTGTTCTAACCTACATGAGATAATACTGTGCCATGCTGAGTTGACACAATTCCAATCAGAACCAGGGAAACCTGGTGTTTCAGTTATCTTATATGGCTTTGTTTTGGTACACATGATTTCTGTAGTTCCTTTTGAAGTATTGAAAAATAAAGCAAAGATTCTTATATTTATCTTTTCAGACTTCCAGGAAGTCTGTAACGTGTGTATCCTTTAATGTTTGTTTTCTTATCCTCGGGGATTCCAGAACATGATATTGGGGTTGAAACTTAAGGAAGTGAGACATTCCTAACCTAAGGTGAAGGACACAGAGCTGAATTGCCTTCTAATGAGGGGGTAGGTTTTGTTATCCAGAGGAGACTGGAATGGAGGGAAATCACTACATTCTGCTTTGTGCAACAGAAAAAGTGTGAGCGCTACTGGGCTGAGCCAGGACAGAAGCAACTGCAAGTTGGCCCTTTCTCCGTATCCTGTGTGAGTATGGTGCCTGTTCCCATTATCGCTGAGCAAAAGTTCCAGGATCTACTTTATAGGGAGCTTGTCTTTAGAAATAACTAATATTTTAATCTTTTACTTCTTAGGAAGCTGAAAAAAGAAAGTCTGATTACATAATCAGGACTCTAAAAGCCAAGTTCAATAGTGTAAGTACAGAACAGGAGGGGTAAACTCAAATGCTTACATGGATCAGGCAGGTAAATACATATGTGTGTGACTCAGGCTGGGCAGAAGGCAATGGAGAATAGTGGGATCTTTGATGTCCTAGATAAGTCTTCATATTCAAAAGAGATCTTTAGTGTATAACTGTCCTCCCCAACCTTTTTCACACTGTGACACACATATGCAATAATAATATTTGTAGGGTGAATGGAGGCTGTGCAGTGAATAGAGGCTGGAGACCAACTTGAGAGCTCAGGTTTCCCTAGATCCTGCCCGGTGTCTCTGAGGCTAAGAGATTTAATATATTAGCACGTCTGTGACCCATCTGAGGCACACCAGACTGGAAGCTCTGGTTTGGATTCTCCTCATATTTACCTCCTTTTGTGAGTAGGGCAGATGGGGACAGGTCAATCATACGTGACCTGAAATCATTTTCAATTGTTCTCAGAGGGTACCGGTCACCTGAGGTCTACAGGAAATAAAGTAGCATAAATTACAAAAAGGATATAGATGCTATTTACTAAGTCAGAGTAATCTTGTGGCAGAATAAGATGGAGTCCTAACCTTGAACTTGCCTTCTATTCTGGCTATCTTTTATAGGAAACTCGAACTATCCACCAATTTCATTACAAGAATTGGCCAGATCATGATGTGCCTTCATCTACAGACCCTATTCTTGAGCTCATCTGGGATGTGCGTTGTTACCAAGAAGATGACAGTGTTCCCATATGCATTCACTGCAGGTATGATGTTGTATTGGAACATTCTACCCAAAACAAACCAAATGTCAGTCTGGCCAGGAATCCTGCTAAAACAGAAGACTCACTGTTTTGGAATTTAAGGTGGTATGAGCACATAGAATGTAGGCTCCTGATCCCAGCCTCACTTATTCCAATTGATCAGAAAGGAAGGAAGCTTAGAAATGAGAGTGATTAAAAGGGAAAGGTCAATAGTAGAAACAAACTATATTAAATTCATCCTGAGCATTAAATTCATATTTTTCTGATAAATTACTTGTGAACAGAATAGGTCTAGAGATTCTTGCTGTGAGAAGTTGCCTAAGATTTGTCCTGAGATTCATTGTGGTATGTGACAATCGACAAACATGCTCTGGGAAATGATAGAGTTTGGAAAATTCCATTGCCTCCAGGCTCTTCCTCTTCAAATATACCAGTGAAATTTTCTAATTTTTTTGTCAAAGATCCATCATCTGCAACTATAAATGCTACTGTGATCTTTCATTTCAGTGCCGGCTGTGGAAGAACTGGTGTTATCTGTGCTGTTGATTATACATGGATGTTGCTAAAAGATGGGGTGAGTTTCTCTTAGCAGGCACTTCCCATTTGCTTAGCCTGCTGCTTTCACACTTAGGAGTTGTTTAGTTCCTCAAAACATTTATCTCCACAATTCATCTTTACTGGAATATTCACTCAAAGACCTGCTTTGTCAGTCAGATGATTCAATTAGCTCCTAAGTCATTGGTTTTTAAAGTGTGGTCCCAGACAAGCAGTGTCAGTATTTTCTGGGAAAGTGTTAGAAATGCAAATTCTTGGGCGCCAACCCAGACTGAGAGAACTGGAAACTCTGGAAGTACAGCCCAGCAAGTCCTATGGGTGATTCTGATGCATGCTAACGCTTGAGAACCTCTACCTTAAATTATATTGTTACCCTTCCTTAATCTAAACTGCCTCAGTAGATAGCCTCAATTTATTGCAATCAAATTTCATGTTCCAAACTATAGGTCATTTTTTAAAGTCTGATAGCAAATGGTAGATTTATAATATGGCTTTCAGAGCTATCTGTCAGCTTCTTGTATTACATATAACTCTCTCTTTCTTATTCTACTGAGTCTTCTCTCACAGTATAACTTTAGTTTCAGATACTTGAGCTCCTGGGGAATTAGTCCATGTGAAACCACTCAGAAGATTTTCTTTACACTTTCCTAGGGAAATCACCAGTCTCTAAATTGTGGTGCAAGTCATGAAGAACCTCTTTAGTTTAAAAAATGTATTCTTTGTCTACTATTACCCCATACTAGGAGAGCAGATGTCATAGAAGTATAAGACTATAAAAAAGTGGCAATAATTTATTAACAAAGATAGGATCAAAAGGAGTAAGATATTTTTTCCTTTTATTTGGTAGATAATTCCTCAGAACTTCAATATTTTTAGTTTGATCCAGGAAATGCGGACACAGAGGCCTTCATTTGTTCAAACTCAGGTATGGACTCGGGTGATTGGATCAGAACATGTGTCTCGGTCTTGCTCCATCTCTATGTTTAATGGTAAGGCATCCAAAACCAGCTGACTCCTTAGCTGTGATACCAATGTACTACAAGTGCTTTAGTTCATTCCCATTTCCTCTGAGTATACCAATATTTCCCTTGTATTCCCTACCCCAGGTCAAGTTTCTTTTATTCCTTGTATCTTACTGTCTAGAAAACATTAAAGAACCAATATAACATTTCTTACTTAGAAAGGATATTGAAAAAAATTCAACAAGCTGTTTGACTTATTAGAAAGTAGTAGCTGAGTTGGGTTAACTTGAATTTTGCAGTAGTAAATCCATCTCTGAAACCATAGAAAAGCAGAAATCTGTGATTTCTACTTTAGGACGTGGTAACAGAATCTGGAAAAGGCAGTCTCTGTGTTTATTTTAGGAAATACTGAAAAGTAAAAATAAAATCAGCCATAATCATATCACTTAGAGATAGTCACTGTTACTATTTTTCTATAGTCTCGTGGTGCTTACAGTATGCATACTTTTTAAAAAAGAATAATTACAATCACACACACTATATGTGTGAAATGTTATGTCCGGTTCACAATCTTTTAATAAACCCCAGATTGTCCACACTTGTTCACTCCATTTGGAATGCTCTTCCCCTCTCCTCATGAAGTCCAGCTCAAGTTCTTCCTCCTGCGTGAAACATTCCCAGCCCAAATCTCTCACTGTCTACATTATTAACTTCACCCAAATTTCTACACCCATAATTTTAACCACATTTCTAAGCAGTCTCCATCTTTAAGATAGAATTTATCATTCATCCATCTATTCATTCATCAAACATTTATTGATTATAATGTAACAGGCACTTGCATAGCTTGTTAGAACTATTTTTTACAAACTTAAACAGTCAGACCCAAAGTGTTTAAGGTACTTAAACAAATGAACTTCGTATAGGTTCAGAGATGAAACAATTGTCAGTGAGAAGTTCAGACATTTTAATCTAGATGTTGTACATTCAGGGGAAAAAATGAGGAGCTGTTATAATGCAAATCTATCTGTTTGGCCCACACAGGTTTTCCACTAATAGTTAGTGGAAAAAAATAATTTTTTTCATGTGTTGACTGTAAGCGTTTTCTATATTCAACTTGTGAGGGGGAAAGTTTATGTGAAATGAAAACACTGCCTGGGTTAGTGCTGTCAGACTGAAAAGAAGGATGATCCATGTAAATGGATAAAGACTCCAGGAAGTATGCAACCTACTTGTAAAATATTAGATTATGGTTTTAAATTGATAAATAAAACCATATCCATTTCAAAAAAATTTCCATTTCAGGCTGACTTTTAAGAATTAGAAGACAGCTGAGACAGTTTGAAATTTACCTTCACATTTTGCATTATCAAAGACTAGCTGAACCAATATCTTAATAGTTGTAGCTGGTCTTTCTGATACTGTTCTAGCCAGGAAATGGCACTATAACCAGATGAGTGCTTCCTGTCTGATTTCTCTGCATTGTTCTTTTGCTAAATTTATCTTCGGAGTAAGCTGTATTTTATTTGTGTAAGATTGTCTAAAGTGTCAAGGAGAACCCTGAATAGGCCTATTCAGATGAAAAGTAGATAAAGAATCAAGAGCTTGAGCAGGCACCGGGGCAAACCAATAAACCTCATAATAGTAGAGGTCTCATTTCTCTACAGTGAAAATCCTTTTATAACCACAAATTTCCAAACCCTATTCAGTAGTCTATTTTTCTTTGGTAACTTTGCTAGGAGAAAATTTCAGCAGCTTGGTCTAAGTGAACTAAACTAAGAGTCAGAAGATTCAGGTTCTAACTTAGGACCTTGAAATTACTTCTAAATGAACCTAGAAAACTTGATTACAATGGGGCAAACAGCCTAGCTACTTCACAGGGCAATTGTGAGGGTCAAGTTAAATAACAGATATTCAGGCTATCTACTCTACACCAACCACAACCTATCTATCTTTTTCCAGAAATGATGGAGGTGACTTACAAAAAAAATAAATACAGGATGAAATATAACTTTTTAAATGTGAGCAAAGAAAACAGAATAATGATGACAGAGGGAAACATAAGTCAGAAAGTGGCGTTATAAGATAAAAACCATGCCATAAGACCCTGTACGTTAGCTAGAGGTAGATCAAATATTTGGCTGTTTTCTAGCAACCTAAAAGCACTTTAAAATCTGAAATGGACTACACAAATGTAAACACCATTACCAGCTGTCGTGGAGTCGATTCTGACTCATGGTGACCCCATGTATGTTAGAGTAGAATTTTGCTCCCTAGGGTGTTCAGTGACTGATTTTTTGGAGGTAGATCACCAGGCCTTTCTTCCGAGGTCCCTCTGGCTGTACTCAAGCCTCCAGCCTTTTGGTTAGCAGCCAAGAACATTAACTGTTTGCATTACCCAGGGACTCCACATAAGCATAATGATGATGCTCTTTTCAAGTCTGCTGTAGTAGGATTTGACTGGTGTTTATATTCCTGAAATCTGGTTCTGTAGTTCACCAAGTTTTTTTTATTTTGTTTTATTTTCATTTGTGATGCTCTTCAGGAACAGTATGAGCTGGTCTACAGTGCTGTATTAGAACTATTTAAGAGACAGATGGATATTTTCAGGGATAAACACTCTGGAACAGAGGTAAAGTTTAAACTTGATATTTTGTCAATTATTTTTTTTCATATTTGCTGTTAGTCATGGGATCTCAGGTTAGTTGTAAGACTTAACTTATCACCTATTGTCATGATTAACTTGGAGCGTCAAGTGTGCATGAGACTGCACTGCAAATTTTCTACGGAAAAGGATGAATTGATTGAGGTACTTTTTAACTTAGAAAATTAATCTCTTGCATACAATTTTCAGCCAGATTTAGAAGAAATTGGAGTGACTAAAAGGGAAAGTGTACGTTCTATTCCTATGTTTTAGACAGTTTTATGTGGTGAGATAGAAGTGAGACTGATGATCATAAAGTCAAGTCATAGTTGTGCCCCAGTGTGATTTCTTTAGGCTACTTTAACCTTATTTTGGTGGCAAATGTCCCAACAAATTTTGAGAATATTTTAGGATATCCAAAGAATTTTTAGCTAAAGTTTTTAGCTATAAAAACAATTATGATTTGGTTAAATGCCAATTGTCGTATTTCCTAGTGCTGCTGTAACAAAAATACCAATACCACAAGTGGGTGGCTTTAAAAAACAGAAATTTATTGTATCACAGTTTTGGGGGCTAGAAGTCTGAATCAGGGCATCTGATTTAGGGTAGGTCTTCTCTTGTTGGTAGCCCCAGGTGTTTCTTGGCATTCCTCGGCTTGTAGACAGATCCTCACATGGTCTCTTCCCTCTGTGTGTGTCTCTCTCGTGTCTGTTTTCCCTTTTTGTAAGACATCACTCAGAAGGGATCAGGTTTAGGACCCACCCTATTCTGGCATGACTTCATTAATACAGCCAAAGAAAAGCCTTATTTCCAAACAGGATCACATTCCGGTACAGGAGTTAGAACTTCAACCTATCTTTTTGGGGACACAATTCAATCCAATTAAAAAACTGAGAGTTCTAAGGTATGCTGTTTTGATCTCAACAAAAAAATTGATAAGTCCAATACTTACTGTGTAATTACGAAGTGTTAGGTTCTTAACAAACCTTACAAAGACAATTACTGATTTACTATCGAGGGTATATGCAACATAAATATTTTACTTTTAAATATCACTTTTTGGATTAATAATCTAAAGAATTCACTGAGGGTCTACTATTTCCCCAATATTAGAAATACAAAGTGTACAAGGACATAGCCCTGATCATAATCCCTGCCAATGAATGGTGAAGCAAGTTGAGACCTCAGAAAGATAGGTGGGTGTAGAAGAGAAGAAAGCCTGTGTGGGGGCTAGGGAACCAACTAAGCAATCCTACCGTTAATGTTTAGTCAACTCCAAGGAGCAACAACCTGGTGGAGAGACATGTAAATAAGAGTATAGTTGTCAGGAATTGTTACTCATTTCCTGTTTGTATCTATATTTCATTGGCTAGTACCCCTAGAATAGTGTTAAACAATAGAAGTGATACTTGCATGCTGACTTTACTAAGAATGATTCTGGCGTCTGACTACGAAGCACAATGCTGACTTTTGATTGAAGGTATTTATTAATTGCTTGACGAAAATATTCATGGATTCCTATTTTATTAAGAAAAATTTTCAGAAATAATGTTGAATTCTATTGAGTATTTTTGCATCTATGGGATGATCACACGGATTTTCTCCTTTGACCGATTAATATAGTAAATGTTATAATTTGATTTGTTAATATCAAATCATCTTTATACTCTTAGAATAAATCCTATTTGAACAAGGAATATTATGCTTTTAATGTGTTGCTGGAGTATGTGGGCTAATATTTTATTTAGGTTCTAGGAAGTGTCAAAACTCAATTTAGCACCAAACCAAAAAAACCAAACCCATTGCCGTCGAGTGAATTCCAACTCATAGCAACCCTACAGGACAGAGTAGAACGCCCCATGTGGTTTCCAAGGAGCGGCTGGTGGATTCAAACTGCTGCCATAGCTCTTAACCACTGCGCTGCCAGGGCTTCAAATTTAGCACAGTAGAAGTATAAAAGATGCCTGGACGGTACAAGTGGTTTGTAATTGGCTACTAACCCAATGCAGCTCAAACCTACCCAGCAGTACCACAGAAGAAAAGCCTGGTGAACTGCTTCTGTAAAGAGTACAGCCAAGAAAACCCTATGGGGCAGTTCTACTCTGTAACACATGGGATTACCATGAGTCAGGGGCTGACTCAACGGCAGCTGACAACAACAACAGCAGTACCAGCAGTATAATAGCTCCAGTAATTTTGGTTGTTTGGAATGGGTCCTTAGCCAGTAAATGGGAACAAAGAACATGGAAGGAACTGGTTAAAGCCATCTAGAGAGGACTGCTTCCTGGAAGATGGAGTAGACATACTTTCCCCTATTCCTCTCACCAAGTACAACTAAAAACCCTGCACATTATATGTAAAACAAACACTAAAAAAACCTGAAAGGTAGAAAGAAGAAGGCAAACCAGCTAAGGACCTTGAGATCCAAGGAATGACATGGTGTTGAGTTTCCTGGGTTTTCTTTTCATCTCATATATCCCTGACTTGGGGCTGGAAAAAAAACAATGGCCTGGAAATGCCAACAGCGCAGACAAAAACAAACTAACTAACAAACAAAAAAGCCCCAACAAAAGCTTTGCTTTCTCTAGCCAAAGGACCAGGAGAGGGGTGGTCTAGCCAGACAGAAAACTTTTAGACAGTAAGCACTCTACTCCAGTCAAACACCAAAGAAATACTGGCCCCAAGTCCACTCATGTGAGCAAAGGCTTAGTGAGACACCTAGACTTCCACCCTGGCAAGGCTGTAATAAGGTGACCCAGTATCCCTGCTGGGGTGGTGTCAGAGAAGGCCAAGTAGAGAGCTGGGACTTTCAGACCCGCTGGACCATAATGAGCTCCCCTCTCCCCAGTGTCAGTGGGTTTTCTCTTTGTTCTTCCCTCTGAGTAGTGTCAGAAGAGGCCTAGTGGAGAATTGGGACTTTCATCATCATCCAGACATAATGAGGCCACTCTCACCATGGCATCAGTGAAGGCCACATGGGGACCCTCCCCATCAGCATCAACAGAGGCTAAATGAGGAACCTGGTGGAGGTAGACTCCAGCCGACAGTAACAAGGCAGTATTCCCCCACCCCCATACTTCTCTCCCCTGCCAGAGCAGTGTCAGATAAAGCCACATAACAAGAGATTTAATTAAGTTCCAGGTCTTATAATATGAAAATATGCAGGTTTCAATTACAAATCACTTGTTCTCCCAAATACCATGTAGATTTCAAACTGAATGAAAAAAAGATAATCAATGCCAACAATGGATGCTAACACTCAAGTGACAGAGATGTTAGAATTATTTGACAAATATTTTAAAGCAGCCATGATAAAATTGCTTAAATGAGCAATTACAAACAGGCTTAAAACAAATGAAAAATTAGAAAGCCTAAGCAAAGAAATATTAAGTCTCAGCAAAGAAACAGAAGATATAGAGAACCAAATGGAAATTTTGGAACTGAAAAATACAATGACTGAAATACAAAAGCTCAGGGGATGGGCTCAATAACAGAACAGAAGGTACAGAGGAAAGAATCAGTGAACCAGAAGATAGAACAATAAAAATTACCCAATCTGAAGAACAGAGAAAATAGACTGAAAAAACTAAACAAAGTCTCAGGGACCTATAGGACTACAATAAAATTTAACATTCCTGTCACCAGAGTCCCAGGAGGAGAGGAGAAAGAGGGTGGGGCTGAAAATGTACTAGAGATGCATCATAATTGTACTTCTGAAACTAAAGAAAAAGAAAAATCCTGGAAAGCAGCCAGAGAAAAACAATACCATAACTATAGGGAAAAAAAATTAGAATAAAGTGAACTTCTTATCAGAAACCACGGAGGCCAGAAGGAAGTGGCACAATATTTTTCAAGTGCTGAAAGACAAGAACTGTCAATCCAGAATCCTTTACCCTGTGAAAATATCCTTCAGGACTGAAGATGAAGGAAAACTAAGAGAATTTGTTGCCAGCAGACCTACCCTAAAAGAATGGGAAAGGAAGTTTTCTAAACCAAATTGAAGCAATAAAAGAAGAAATTTTGGAAAATCAGAAAGAAAGAAAAGAAGGGAGGAAGGAAAAAAAGGAAAGAAAGAAGGAAGGAAGGAAGGAAATGGCATGGCAAGCCAAAACATGGCATAAATACAATAGACTTTCCTTCTCCTCTTGAGATTTCCAAGTTATGTTTGATGAGTGAGGCAATGATCATAACACTGTCTGATGGGTTATAAATGTATGTAGAAGAAATATATAAGACAATTATATTATAAACAGAGGAAAGTAAGGGATGTAAAGGGAGGTGGTACAATGACGATATCAGGAGATCGTAATAAGTTATGTATATACAATGTAATACTGAGAGCTACCACTAAAAAAGATACACAAAGAGATACATTCAAAAATGCTACAGGTAAATCAAAATAAAATTCTAAAAAAAAGCAGGAAAAAGAAAACAGAAATGAGAAACAGAGCAAACAGAAAGCAAAAAATAAATGGCAGACTTAAGCCCTAATATATCAATAATTACATTAAATGTACATGGTCTAAATACACCAATTAAAAGACAGATTGGCAGAGTGAATAAAAAACATGACCCAACTATATGCTATCTATAAGAAACTCACTTCATATATAACATACAGGTAGTCTGAAACTAAACGGTTGAAAAAAAAAGGTGTAACATGCAAATATGAATCCGAGGAAAGCATGAGTGGCTACATAAGTATCAGATAAAGTTGACTTCAGAGCATAGAAAACTACCGCAGACATAAAGACATCATATAATAATAAAAGGATGAATTCACCAAGGCAACATAGCAATCCTAAATGTGTATGTACCAAATAATAGAGCTGCAAAAACTGATAGAAATGAAAAGAGAAATAGACAACTCCACAATAACAGTTGGGGACTTCAACATCCCTCTCTCAACAGTTGATAAACAACTGGACAGAAAATCAGCAAGGATAGAAAACTCAACAACATTATCAACAAACAGGATTGAATCAACA